TTTTCTTGAAAATCGACTGCTAAGTCAGATTGCATTCTCATTTGTCAGTTATATACTTCAAGGAATATTGCTCACAACTTTTAAAAAAGAAATTGTTGCCAAGGTAACATACAATTGCTTCCCTTTACTCACACTGAAATCTGATAGCAATGGTCTCTTCTGTCCATGAATGGGCCTATTATTTCTTGGCTGCTAGTGATCTTCCTGTTTTTGTTTACTGTAGAATAGACAGTAGGAATTAGTAACTGATGAATACAACTTAGCTGGGAGCTGAATTTACCATAGAGAAAATAAAGTTAAAAATACACACAAAGACAAATCTAGAGGCATTAACCTTCAAAATAATTTCAGAAGTAGCAGCCTCTCATTAAAAGATTTTGTGCAAGTCAGCCTTAGTAAAACCAAAAGAGATTAGTATCCCAAAATGTGACCAAAAATGTTAGGAAGTTTGAGGTGTTGTTGGTCAACAACAGAGATGAATTAAAATAGATCAGAGCTGCCACCAAGAGTTACAGTGTGTCTAGGATAGGTCATATTTATCTGTATATATACACACACACAGTGAAATGAGTAACTGTTTTGACTGCTTAAAGTAACTGTACACTAACGAGATCCTGGCACATGGTTGACAGTAAAGCCCATGTACATGATGTAGTTTTATCACTGGATCATTTGTTTTAAGGAATATAAAGAATTTGTCAGACAAAGGTGGCAACTCTGAGGTTGTCTCAGATGGAAACTATGCATATCACTCACAAGAGAGATACAGAAATATATTTATGTATGGAATATAGGTATTTAAGAGACCCTAATCATAAATAAGGCAGTAACTTAAACTTCTATGAGGATGATACAATTATTTACTGCACAGACGGTAGGTTTCATCTATTCAACATTTCAACACATTCGTCCAGGCCATGATCCAATTGAGTCAAAAAGTTCAGAGTGGATGCCCCTTAATTTCTAAATTCTTTCCTAGAGAAGTCTAGGTGCAGCAAAATCTAGCCCTAGTTTCTGACTCAAGCAGCAGTTTACATGTAGGGAATTATAAGCATACAGTTAAAAACATGATCTTAAAGGAATCTTATCTGATCAGTCATTTAATGACGATCAAGATCAGGAAAGAGTAAACATCAATGTGTTAGAGATCTCTGCAGCAAGCATAATCCCAACTCACACCGCTACTGAAGAGTATATCCTGTCATAAAGCCAAGGAAAAATCCATAAAGGAAAAATCAAGAGGCTGGTGGACTGCTCACTGTTTATGAGGTAAGATGGGTAACTCGTGGTGGTGGGTCCGAGACATGCTGAACTGGCCCTTAGCTGTTCAACCAGGTGTCTGCTCTCAGAACTATGAACATTCAGCTTGAGACTATAGTGCTCTTTCAGACCTTGAAAGTTGATACCCTTGAGGGAGGCTGTGGGCACCTCATTATGGCATAAGTGAGGTCTTATGTATAATGGTAAGCTTGAAGGAGAAAGGGGATAGTGAGAAAGGGAGGAAGCATACCGTCACAGTGGTGACAGTTCTTAAAAGGCCTTTTATTCCTTTTCATTACCTATCACTTAAAATATTGCTGACAGATCTTTCTCCTTTCTCTGCCCTACCATAGTTCACTTAAATGAGGAGCATTCTTAGTGACTGCATTGGTGACAATTACTAATATCATTCTGGATTATAGCCTTCAAAAATACTACATGAAGCTAAACTATTCCAGAGACTTAATAATAGTGACAGAGGAACTGTGCTGGGAGAAAAGAAGAATATGAGTGCTCAAGAACACTCAAAAGAGGTGATTCACTTTGGTTTTTAACTTGTTTTGTCATTGCTCTTAAAGTATAGCATTAGCAGCAGGGCACACAAGTGCTTGTTGGGGAGTATTATTAAGGTATGCTTCTCAGTATTTATGATTTAGCTGATCCAGCTCATAAGTTAGCAGCAAGTTTTCTTCTGTTGCAATCTGGCTGGGGGTTCCTCTGATGCTTTCAGCTCTGAGAAAGCTCCCACATGACTTTAAAGCTTTCACATCTCTGTCATTAATTGCAGTTGATTAGCTTTCTTCTTCTGATCCATTCCTGATCAGCTCCATTACATCTTCCTTTCTTCTTACGCAAATACTTTCTTCCTCCACTATATCTCTGTTAGAAATCGCAAGTGGCAAGTGTGGGAATAAAGAATTTTCTCAATGAACTCTTAAGGTTTTCCATTACTAATTGAAGTTCCTGGCCTTTTAGAAATCTTCTCACCTCCTTTTTCATGAGTCTCCTGATCCTTAGGTTACCAGTAATCATTCCATTACCTATACTAAAACTAGTAATATACATTAATATAATTTATAACCATCTTCCTCCCCACAGTCCTCTTTTCACTATTTCCCTTTATCTTTTTCAGTCACAGTGGTTGTGAGTTTTCCCTCTTTCACATTTTATGTTCCTGTCTATATTTCTCAGTGATTACAGATTTTATTAGATTCAAGAAACTTTGCATTACAAGAAACCCAACAATTCTGTTCATTGCTGACTGAAGATATAAGGTTTATGTATATAGACATGTATGTATGTATTTGTGTACATATATATGCATATACACACACACACACACACACACACACACACACACACTTGAATACCTCAGCACTAGCTACTGTGTTTCAGGGCAATGGTCACCCAAAATATTATCATGAAGTTAGCCCCACAGTTTTCCCTTTGTTGTTAGAAGGACATCTCTAGTGTTCTACAACTCATTATTCCAATTTCTAAATATCATAGGGATAGAGAACCTGGCTTTTATTCAAGATGGATTAAACACTTTTTGCTTAAAATTATCCATTTGAATTCCTAGCGGATAAAGCAAATCCTCATCCTTTCCTTGCAATGGTTTTAATCCATGTAAAATGACTACTGAAATTCTGGAACATTTTACTGTTATATTTGCCTCAGAAATGGCAAAATTCAGGCCCAGCAGATGCTGTTATTTCAGAGGAAAATGACCTGTTGTTCACATTCATCACACTGCAAACTAATTACATTGTAATTGTCACCCCTCTGCTGCTTTTACTCAGGAAGGAGTCCCCCACGGGGCTGCTCATAATAGCATTCCTCAGATGTAGAATGGAGAGCAGAGTCAGGCCTTTTGTTAGGCTATACAGTAGATCTACACAGTATAATTTCTCAAGATGTGAAGCTCTAGACAGATGTCAGTAATAACAGTAATAACACTGATGACAATTTAGCAGCTTATGCTAGCAATATACTCAGTAGTGAATAGCAATTGTTGCCAACATTTGAAACAGCAATGACAAATTCACTGATGGTATTTCTTTTCTTGGCTTCTTTTCATTTCAAATGCCATGCAAGAAATGCAGAAATGGCTTTGTTAGAGGAGAAAAGGTTTAAAGTGTACAAAGAAGGTACAAGGAGATTCTAGCTTTATCTTTGCTTGTTCATTTACTCTAAACTTGCTCAGGCAAAACACTGCAGTCAGAGAGTTCTGTCTTATGACTGCAGACTGCCTTATGACACTTAAGGGTCTCCAGTTTATTTCAGTTCTTTGCCCACTGCACACATGAGGTTGCAATCTTTCTCTCAGAACTCTCATTGAGTGTTATACCTGCTCTGAAGCAAACTTCTTAGCCTTCATGGATATCTCCTTATTTTGTTTAAGTTAGAATCACAAAATCCATTTTTTTTTTTTTTTTTAACTTCTTTTTTAAACCCATGTGAGCATTGTGAATCTGAGGACACCAGACACCAACCAACCTGAAAGTCCAGAACTTCAACTTTACTATTACTAGGAAAAGCTGCTAGACCAATTATATTCCCCACAATAATATACCCACAATGGATCACGTTAATGGTGAATTTTACTCCTTATGAGTATTAAAAACAACTAAGTTTAGCTACAAGAAAATGACTGCTTTCTTGATAGTTAAAGGACAGCAATGGTAGTTACTGCCACAAACAGAAGACTGTACAGGGAAGATCCCATCACAAGTCCTTCCACTTGCGTGTTCCAGACTCATGCCAAAACGTTGCTATCTAGATGCTAATGGAAATTAAAATCTTAATTTCAACTGCTATTCTGCATATGCTTCCTCTCATTCAGTGTATTTTTAATAAATTGATTTCCTTAATCTTATCCCCTTTAAAAAATGCAGGAAAAAGGAACATAATCTGTCCCCCCCCACTCTCCTAAAGGATCTTTATCTTTGTTAAAACAACCTTACAATGTCCCCCTTAATAATGTAAGATTTGTTTTGTTGTGCCCTACAGGGCCTCTGTATCCCCAGAATCCTGGGGCAATGGCAATGCTGAGCTGGCACACTAGCAGAAATGTCATTTTTTTTTATTTATTATGTGGTTCTGAGGGGAATCTATTATCTACCACTGAGATGTTGAAATAAGATGATTTATCTGCAAAGCACCTCTGTCTACCATCTAGAATATATATCTCTCATCACTGCAGGAAAGAGAATGAAGGGATGTTTTCATTTCTGGTGCCTTATATTTATAAGTTTATTCTTTTAAGCTTTGTAAGCAGATACCTGAGGGTGGGGAGCAGAGCTGCAGGGTGCAGAAAAGACAAGTTCTAATGCTTCTCTGTATTCTCCTGATCTCCCTAGAAAACCTTCCAATTTCAGAATGGACTTAGCTTCCCTTTAGTCTCATACATCCTGAAGAGCTCATGTGCAAATAGTAATTAGCTTAGGAATTAGCATTGTGCTGCAGACTCAGAGCCTCAATGTGCTGAGAGCACTGTGAAAGTGAATAGCATCAACAAATTGGGCTGGCAACCTGTTTATCTTAATTACCATAAATACCTCTGCCTGATATTTCAGGCTGGATGTCTACAACAATTTGAATGCATTTTTACAGTTAAGCAAAACTGCCCAGTGTGTGAGAAGTAAAGTAATATATCTACCAGCTCATTCACAATGACTCTGAATTATTTCTCTTCTTTCCCCTAAGGCACGGAGGAAAATTAAAGAGTTTAGTCCATGTTTTTATTTTTCTTGTGTTTTATCTGCAAAATTCACTACACAAGCCACTCTATGAAGCAGGGTAAGAGCTGCTAGCAAGTCAGAGCTGTCAGTAAGAAGGTACATTTGAAATATTTCTAAAACAATCTTACCAAGTATACTTTAATTTAATATATGTTTTATATATCTTACAAAAGTTTACCAAAACGTTGCAGGGACAGACATTTTGAAATACCCCTGCCAAAATTGTAATAGTCGCATTGCCCTCTAGTGCATACACGAACACATGACACTTTTCTGTGGGGGGAGGGGAGAAATTCTTCACTCTATAATTATCTTTAACGTTATTTGATGGTTTGCTGCATTTAATTTTGACAGAAATGTTATAGACAGTTTGTTAGCAATACATGACTAAATTCTTGCTTCTCCCAATCCCTTCTGGCAAATCTGAGAAACATCAATTTAATTGTGTAGCTGACAGAAATGCAGGTCATGTCTTTTCAAAACAAAATAAATAACATTCAGAATAATGCATTTGCAAAAACATCATACCTTTAAACCCACCTGCAGCACATCATGCATAAACCAGATTGTGCCTAAATTCATTACAGTATGAGGGCAAATAAAAATCTTCTAGACTAAATTCATTAGTCTGCATACACTTTTAAGTCAGGTGCCTCCTGCAGATAGAGAAAGATCAACATAAAGAAAAAAATGGGTACGTGCAGAATGGAGTTAAATTAGGCACAAAATTTGCATATCAAAATGAAAGCTATTGTAAAACATACTAGAAATGAACATTTGAGAGGCTATGGTTACAAACGAAACTCTTATTTTTTAACTGCCTAACTGTACAAGACTCTAAGTTTCTGGCCAACAATTTGTGGTTTTATAAACTTAGGGACATACATATTACATTTAATAAAACTAAGCTTCGTGCCAATTTCCTCTGGTAGCATATAAATTTTTGTGGAGAAAATACCTATATTTGTAATAGAAGTAAAAGAAAATTCTTTGCAATATATTTAAGTTTAAAAAAAATCTGCAGGTTACAATGAGAAATGGCCTAGAAATTCATTTATACCTACAAAATATGCTAATATTACATTGTGTACTACCATTGGGTATGGACAATGTATTTTCATTTTAAAAGTTTGATGGTGTGACACCATCAACTGTTCTCCACAAAATACCATTAAAACGTTGTCATGTGGTGAAATTACAGCAGCTCCCATTGTCAGAATTTCACAGTTTTTTCTCTCAAAGAGAAAACTACATAAAAAATTCTATCACATTTGCCATTATTTTTCAGATCAGGGATTGCAGCTCACAAAGTTGGAAAAGCAAGACAGTCATGACAGTCAAGCTGTTACGATATTCTCTCACGCAACACTAAAACATACAAGAGCACATATAGAAGATGTGCTTGCATCTGTACAAATATGAACGCTTGCAGAACATGAAGAGCCTGGAAAGATGAAATTTTTAAATAACACAGGGAAAGAAATGGCAAAAACGTTCATGGTGTTAGGGAAAGAACAGCTGTTGAAGGAGCCACTCTGCAGCCATCTGTCACAAAGCAACAATCCATAAAAGAATACTGACGGGAAGGTTCAACATTTCCTGCTATACCACCAACGTCTGCCTCTGACATCATGGGCCAACATAATAAATTAGGAGACACTACCTTCATGGCTGGACCCATATGTATAATCACACCTGGGAGCATTCTTCTTTAAGGTGGCTTCTCTCAGCTACCACGGAATGACTTCCTCAGCTTCAGATGAGACTCTAATCATACACAACTGCCAACAGTCACAGGTCCCGTGTTCTTTCAGTGGCATTCTTGAGCCTTCCTCTTTCATTTCAGAAAAGCTGGATGAGAATGGAGAGGCAATGTGGTCAGAAAAGAGACACATTCACAGAACGCTCCTGGCATGAGGGCGATGCTTGGTTCCATATTCCATTCAGATGATTTCACATCCTGTGTCTGTGTAGCATAACCAGTAGCAGAACTGTCCCTGGCGCAGCATCTAGCTACTATTCTCATTACCTTGGGAAGCAATTTTTCCTCTCTGCTTGCAAGGGAAGTACATTCCACCATCACGGGGAAAAAAACAGTCTTGATCTTTTCCCTGGGTGATTTCAGAACTTCAGTCTTCCAAATTCACATTCTCCACATCTTGTAGCTCTGCTAGATTCCTTTAAAGCAGATAGAGGTTATATCACTGAAGTGGAACCTCAGCACAGCTAGGAAACCTGATGAGAATTCCCCTTAATCGGATTAAAACATAAAGCTTCATAGCTCAGAATAGTTCTAAAATCAATATAGCTTTCCTTCAAAGCATCTTCAATGTTTTGAGGCCTGGATGGACTGACTGTGCACGTATTCACAATACTGAAGTGCTCACAAAAATGAGGATTTCGTGTTGAGTTGAGGAGATGCTGTTTCACCTGTGAATTAAAAAGCCAATTAAGGGACACATCTTTTGTCCAATTCAAGCACTTAACTCTTACCTAAATGAGCTTTCTGGCCACCCATTCAGAAAAGACAAATACTTCCTATGAGCAAGTACAATCCTCCATTCAGCATTAAGTTCTCTCAGCTGCTCCCTGATTTCCTTCCTTACTCACACTTTCATTGCCTGCTTAACTTCAGCTAATCTTCTTTGTGGACCACAAGACAGATTTGGTGCTTGAGAAATTTTAATGCCAAAACCTACGATTGTTCCCAAAAGCCTTACACATTTTCCCTCCCATTAAATTAAAATTTTGGGATAATAGTAGGGTAATTATACTAATAGTAGAAGTTTTTGACTTCCCAAATTCTCAGTAACATGTTTGTACAATCTACTAATAAAAAATTAGCAGAGTAGTGTGATTAGACTGGTATTTCACAGGTTGCAGAACTAGAAAGATTATCATGGTAGAAGGAGAAAATCAAAACTAAATGAACCATCAGCTGTGTCCTAGGTTCACAGTAAAAAAATCCCAAAGGGAGCAATTTCCAGAAAGAGACCTCTTCTCAGTGGCAGTCAGACCTTACCTGGAGTCTCGGAGAAATGGAGCCAGGCTCCACCTTTTCCCATCACACAGGTGAATTGCCTTCACCTGTGCTCCCACAGCTGACTCAGTCCTTGCATCAAGTGATTAAACAGTGGTTCAGGCCATGATTCAACAGTTCCCATACAATTTACTTTATCAGTACAGCAGTAATTTTTGATTTATTTTTCCCCAGAAATAAGCTTTTGGCAAACACTGTAATGCTGCTAGGGAATTTTCTTAGCCCTTCCAATAAGTCCAGAGTTGTGCTAATCATCTACACCCTATGAATTTCATTGTAATTTCTGTCTAATTGTCTCTACTCAGAAATGATTTAGAGAATATGATCTCTGCGTGCCAATATACATGCATATAAGAGAACATAAATAATGTTTCCAATGCTAATGCAATATGAGCAGCTAGGAAAAAAAAAAGAAAAAAGAAGAGAAACAGAACAAACATGATACTCTTTGCCCACGGCTCAGTGCTCTGTCTCTTCTTCACTAAATGCTGCTCTGTAGCAAATGTGCAGTCAAGTCAGTAGTAAATGGAACAGCAGAGTGATGGAGAATGTAAATTAAAGGTTTTACTGCAGTGATTGATTCTAGCTTTCCTAACCAAAATCAAAATAGTTTGGTATGAGTTTGACCTTAGGCTATAATTTCCTTTTTAACCTGTTGAATAAATACTGATCTTGGAATGGATCAAAGATTCCTGAAATGCTCAGATGAACTCATTTTACAAAATATTCCTGGTGATATTATGTTTGACAAAAGTAAATGAGAAGGGAAAAAAGGTAACAAATCTAGATACGGTGCACAGCAGCTCATATAATAAAAAAGATAATAAATAAATAAATAATAAAAATATATGTGACATAGAAATTAGATTTTGTTTATATCTTCTAAGTGTTGGTACCTGATTCTAAGACAATAAGGAGAAAGGCTAGCCATAAATGGATTAGTTCACCTGAAGAAGGGTTACTTACTGTGTTTACAGTGATGTCTTCACAAAAATCAGGAGGTGTCATATTGCTTTGCACTAGTTTATGTTCTGATCCTAATCTGATTCTAGGTATTTCTGCGTCAAGTTGCATAGATATAAGGATGATGGGAAGTGGAAGGGAAAGAACATTCAGTCTGTTTCTGTGAAATTGCTTATGATTTGCATTAGAGCAAAGAAGTCAGGTAATTGTCTCATAACTTTTGATTGCTGTGTGCTTTTTTCAATGTGTAAAATCTAGTTACGTTTTTTCTCTTAGTCTTGGACAAACTCACCTTCTCAAGTGAGATATTTCATCTGTCAACTCCTACACGCTGCAATTGACATCTAATTATCCCAATTTTGCAAGGATGATGGCAAACCAAAAGAGTACATGGGTCATACAGAAAAATTTTTAATTGAGTTAGAGATCTTCTTTATTCTATTTCTGTCATTTTAAGCACCTGACAAATATATGCTTATTAGTACAGAGAGGTATCATATAGTTCTGACAGAATGCCCTGACAGGCCAAGTTGAACACTGTGTAATTTGCTTGACCTTAAAAGAGAGGAACAGTTTATTTTCGTTTAATTTTTTTTTTCTAAGCTGTTTTCAAACACTGGGAAGGTGCAGAATATTTCAAAGACTATATGATAGAGGCAAGTGGTCCAGCTGTCTTAAGAAATCAAGTTCCTCAGTTTCCCCAATAAGTTAAAGGTTATTGCTCACTTCCACAGCGGGACAGCTAGAGAAGGCAGATTAAAAGAGGTATAAAAGGCATCCTGTCTGATAGCAAAGTGAATATACAGATACCAACAAAATATTAAGAAGCTATGTATTTTTTAACCCTAACCAGCAACATGAAAATAAATTCATTCTACAAGAATGTTTCATGTATTTTTGTAAACCTAAATGTATCCTCTACAGCATAGGTTTTTGTTCCACTGAAAAGGAATTTCTGCAGAAGGTTCTTCTGCAAATGACAATACAAACTCCAGGTGTCTAATGTCTTTTTAGCTTCAGCCTTCACTAGGAATACCAAAAGGAATCAAACTATTAACATAACTGAAAGAGTGACAAGAAGTTAGAAATTCAAGTTATTCAGCATTATTCGAATCTCTGACAGCAAGACACATATATTAAATCTGTTGCCTAAATTTACATAGTATGACTAGTAGCCATAGAGACTATATTAAAAAAAAAAGATTTGAGATGAAAAACTGAAGTGGTGTAGATCAGTTGGAGTTCACAGAATACTGAAAAAAAATAATGAAATACATAATTAGTAATAAAAAGATAAGTAAGAGGTGACGTGAATTTGTCAGGAAAACATAACGGCCTTGAGCTTTCCTGCATACATAGATTTTCATCACATACAAAGTTTAATAGATGAACATTATTAGAAACAAAGTATTCAGATATTCTAATGGGTTAAAAAAAAAAAAAAAAAAAAAAAAAAAAAAGGAAAAAAAAAGGAAAAAAAAAAGAAAAAAGAAAAAGAAAAAAAGGAAAAATGTATACCTAAAATCCATACATTCCATCAATCAGTCCAGAATTTTCCATTAACGAGGAATACCTATACAAAAAATTAAACCTAGCACAACTGTGTGACAGAGCACATGTGAAAGTACCAGGTGGCTTTGTACTATTTTTCAGTGTTTTTGCTAGTACAGAGATTAACCTTCTTAACCCACTGTACTGCTGTTTCTGCATCCAGCAGCAAAATAACATTTAGAGGACTACTCATAGTCTTATCTCTATGCTATTTTCTCCATTGTTTTCCAAATGTGTACCTGAAACACATTTTTATTCTTAAATATTTTTCACGCAGTGATCATTTCTGTCTTTTATCTCATCAAAAACATCTCTAAGCATCATCATCCTTTTCTTCTTGTTGATCTTTTTTAAAACTGTTCTTTTCCTTCTAGACGGATAAGCTTATGCTTCACATGACTAATAGTTGATCTTTTTTTTGTTCTCACAGGCACCTTTTTTCCTCCACCTGAAATATGTAACTATAAGTAAACAAGGACTGATGCTGTACTGTTTGATATTTTATCTAGAACCATCTTCCTCTATATTAAATCCCTTTTTCTGTATATAAAGTCATACCTATAACCTTGCAAAAATCTCTCTAAACAAGTGGGAAAGAGACATTTTGTTTTAATTTCCAAAACAGTTTGCCTGGGATAGACTGTTGCTAAAAAGTGAAACCACAAAAACTGGCATCTGAATAAATTCTTCAGCTGGAAACACGAATAACAGAGTAAAGCACAATGGGTAAGTAAAGATACTAGGTGCAGCAATTTCTTGTATCAGAAGCAAGGTTGAAGGACAAAGTTAAAGAAGATCCAGCTAGACTTTAAGTCTACATACCATACCAGCCACATACCATTTTGTACCTTTTTTTTTTAATACTTCTGCATTAGGTTAGCCTGCAGCTATGAATCTCAACTCAAGTGTTATTGAAAATTCATACATAGGCAAAAAGAAAAGTGTTCCAGAGGTGTACCATCCCCAACAGAATAATGTTCTCAAGTTCCATGTGCATATTTCCCAGCAAACCTTTCATATCATAAATCACTTCTTACTATTTGAGATGTGTCCTTAAGAATTCTCTTAAATATATGAAGGCTATCTCTGATAAACATGAACAGTGCATTTGAAATTAATCTTCATGTATTTGTTGTTCAACAGATCTTTCACCACTGATTATTTTTGATTAACATGTGGATAAAGTCACAGTGTCTAAAAATTCAATGCTCCTTTTCTTCAATATTCACTTCTGCTTAAGATCCTTCTGTAAATGCTCCCTAACAGTTAACTGCCCGACAAGTTAATGGAAATAAAATGTGGGGAAAAAAAACGTGACTTTATTTAAACATTTGAGTGGACATTAATAGAAATATTTTGCAGTAATAATTACCTTGTGATAAATGAATCTATTAAATACAAAAGATGAGTAAGTATTTTATTCCTAAATATTAATTTTATCCATGCCCATACTGACCTTAGAAATAGGAATTGAACATGAGCATTTTTTGCCCTACTACTAGATTTAATGCAACAATTAATATATATTCAGAGGTTCATCAGAAGGTGAATTATGGAGGTACAATTATTAGAATTCACTTTAAAATGTGGTATGACTTCAGCATTTACAGTAGAATATTGTATGCTTTATCTACAAGTTTCACATGGGTTTTGTATATGTATTAATTAGAACAGATAGTATGAAAAAATTAGAAAAAAATTTATTATAGGTTATTCTTTTGAAATTATTTTTAGGGGTGTACTTACAGAAGGCTATGAGATTTTTTTTTTCCTTTTTCCAATTATGGTGCAATATTCTTGTAGCGATACTTCAAATTTCATTCCTGATTAAACCTTCAAAGTAGGAGAAATAGTTTACAAAAATAGAAGAACTTCAGCTAGCTGATTTAATTCCTATAACCTCTATGTGTTGTTTTGTGGGTGGTTTTTTTTTTTCTTTTCTTTTTTTTTTTTTTTTACTGTCTTAT